ATGTGTGTGTGTTTCACTTAGTTAGTTATAGATAGTCTAATTTATTGTTTATAATGCTTTAATTTCTCCAAAACCTAAATGTGATTTGCCCTTATTGCCTTAAGATAACATACCTGGGTCTATTTTGGCACATATGCTTGTGTGTGTGTGTGTGTGTTTTACTTGGTTATTTATAGAGAGTCTAATTTATTTGTTTATAATGCTTTAATTTCTCCCAAACCGTAAATGCGATTTGCTTTCATTACCTTAAGATAGCATACCTGGGTCTATTTTGGCATATATGCTTAATGTGCTTCCTTAAATGATGTTATCAGATGATTACTCTTACTTCGTCAGACACATTTGACTTCATTAGAACATTGCGAATGGCTGGATATGGACTGCTTGTTTCGGGGCCCTCATTGCACTTGTGGTTTGGTTTTGTCTCAAAGGTTCTACCTAAAAGGGACATATTGAGCACATTGAAGAAAATTGTTTTGGGACAAACAGTTTATGGCCCCATTATAACGGCTGTTTTCTTCTCTATGAATGCAGGCCTGCAAGGTATGAGTTTCACATAGTATTTGGTAAATGACATTTTTTCTGTTTATGTGAATTATGTTTATTCATATATTTTAATATTCATTTTGGAGAAAGGAATTGGGCTTGGGTCAAGACCGTAGAGGCTGGGTTTCCATAGCCTAACGTGTCAAGTTTCATTCCTATGTAACCTTGTCAAAAAAAAAAAAAACATTTTGGAGACTTCATAGAGATTTACGAGAAGAAATCTATTGGTCAAAACGCCATATATTTATTAGGTCTTTATTTTGTTTTTTTCGGTTTCTTTTATTTCTGTTTATATTACTTTCTTCCACTTGCATGGTACCTGATGTTCGTAAGGAGAAGCCAAAGATGTTTTCCATGCTGTAGCTGAAGGCAAGGCTGCAGCAAGGACATGAGGCCTACTTGGTGGCCCTAGGGACCAAAGAGAGTAAGGGAGGTACTGAAGCCTTTGGCCGTCCTACTGAGCTTGGCGGACTCATATACATAACTGGGCTAGTGAATTGGATAGTGCATTAAGTGAACCTAGAGCTGGGGAATCGGCTTTGCTGTAAAGACCAAGTTCAAATTCAAATAACTGAGATCTAGCCCATTCGTGGGCTAGAGAAAGTGGGACTTGTAATGGTCCCTGGGTGTGAGTGGGTATAATGGTGCACTAAGCAGGAGGGGACAGTTGCAGTTGGCTGGTCCAAGGTCAGCAACCCTCATTGAGCTTTGTTGGCCTAAAAAACTAGACTGCCATGGTGATTGTTAAATTTTGCCATGTAGCACAAGTTTGTACAGACCTTACCGGTCTTTTGGATGCGATAAGGTATGTTCACACACTGAGCGCTCAACCAAAGTGCATGTACTAAGTAACGAGTCTGACAAGGCTCCCCCCCCCCTCCCCCAAAAAAACAAAAAAAACCCAAAACAACCCACCAAGAGTTCTCGCGTTCTTGTCAGGGTGTTAGCCAGGACTTCCCAAAGAAGATCCTTGTACTCCACAAGATTGCATCGTTTTCCCCTCTAGCTTTTTCTTCCATATGCCCTTCCACTTGATTGGAAAAGTCTAATCTTCAATTCTTCTTGCCGGGTGCAACAAATGTCCAACCAAAGTAGACTTGACCTCACACTTGAACTGTGCCTTCACAATTGGTGGAGCTCGAACTGCTTGAACCCTTGTCTCAGCTTCATTGTTATGATTGAGATTCAAGAATTTCACATGAATCACCAAACAAACCTTTATCTGGTCCGGGAGGGCTAAGAAGTAGGCTAACTTGGCATACCTCTGGATCAGGCATCAATGTGCTGCTATGGCGTTGATCTTCTGCCATATCAGATACTTATGCTCATGACCGCCTAGTCAAGGTAGTGACTCACTTCGTCAAATTGTTCTTCTCTTGTATTAGCCAACCTAAGGCAAGTTGGGCACTAAGCTTGGCCTTGCTGTAGGGCTCATCATGTGCCGCAAAACTGTGTCAAGTTTAGAGTGACCCAATCGTGGTGATTGGCTGACAAACAGTGCTTAAGGTACTGTGCTACGATTGCATTCCCCCTCTCAGTTTGACCATTTGTCTAAGTGTGGATTCTTGTTGAGAAGCTTAGCTTGGTACCCATCATTTCAACAAGTGCACTCTCAATCAATGGAGCCTCAGATTTGCTTGCAATGTCCTCCAATACACCCACAGCTTCACCACATCAGTGAGGAACAACTGTGTCGCTACTTTAGTGGTGCAATGATTCAGGGCTGTGATGAATGTGGTATATTTGAGAATTGATCAAATACTGTCATAATATGGCTCATGCCATTGGACTTGGGTATATCGCTGATGTAGTCCATGGGCAGGTTAACCCAATGACCTTCGAGGATCATGAGGGGCGATAACAGTTGGTCTTGTATTGCTGGTACACAAGATAGTTTTCGACACGGTGCTCTACATCCTACTCCATGTGAGATCTATATTGGTTCTTTGCCATGAGAGCAAGGGTCCTCTCTTGACTAGAGAGTCCTGCAACAAGGGCATCGTGGCACTCCCTTAAGTGCAACTTGTTGAAGCCTAGCAGTGCTTAGCATGTTAATGCACCTGCTTTAACATAGATGACAGCACCTCTTTCCAAAATTATCCTATGTTTCCCTCTTGGGCTTGTTACACCAGCTTTTAAGTTAATGGGTCGTTATTGGTTTCACCTATGTTTCCCTCCTGGGCTCATTGCACCAGCTTTTAAGTTATGGGTCGTTATTGGTTTCCAAGTGGATGCCTTCGAGGAAGTCTCATACTTGGACATTAATGACCATGTTGACATTCCCTAGCTTGTAGTGCATGTAGTCAAAGTTATTTTGACACTCGTGCCATTTAGCACGGGGACTTCGTTTCGTAGCAAGAGTTGTCGCTCCATTAACAATGCACACAAGAAACTTACTCACAAGTAGGAAGTGGCGCTAAGCCTTAAGCCAGTGCACCATTGTTGTCATCTCCTTCTCGTGGACCAAGTACTGTTGCAATTCCTTGAGCTCCGGTTCTCGAAGGCAATTGGGTGACTATTATGTATATGTACTTCAATTGCATAGTTCGATGCATCAGTCAGTACCAGTGTTTCAAAAAGCGCTAGGCGGGCGCCCAGAACCTGGGCGGCCTAGTTGAATCTAAATAAGGATTCTGCAGTTATGTCAGTATCAGTTATATGTATTGCAATACATAATTCAAATTATACTACATTGTAGCATTTAGCACACACTCCATAGACATATTCATAATCCATAAGTCGGTTCATACTCTATATCCAATTAAACCTTAAAATTTTCCAACCAACAAAATTATCAAACCAAGGAAGAAAACAAAATTGAATTATGAAACTATGAAAGTAATACTTGAAGACTCAAAAGAATCTTCAATAGTTCAATGTACAATACTTCAATCAAAGTTCAAACTTCAAAGTTTAATAATTATTCAACAATCAATATTCATCATCAGAAAATCTTGGGTCAGTTGTATTGACATCATATTCATCAGAGTCGCCACCCTCCTCAACATATTGGTCGTCCCCGTCCTCCTCCATCTCTTTTGAATCAACTTTTTCTTCCTCCTCTTCCTCCATCCTTGTTCTCTGTGCAGAAGATCTAGTGGCCCTAGGAGGGTCAGCTGATGGTCCTGAAGCATCCATGACCATGTCCCATGTCAATCCTTCATGCCCCTCGACCTCATCATCATCAACTAACCACTCCATAGCATGGTCCATATTTTTTGATCTGATGGGGTCTCTCGTATGTCTCTTAGCAAACCTGTCCTTCAAGAATCGATTGTACTTGACATAGACTAGGTCATTGAGCCTCTTTGATTCAAGCCTGTTCTTTTTCTTTGTATGAATCTAACAAAATCAAATGAAACTAATTAAAATCTAATATCTATGGTTCATGTATTATTTATAAAATTATACGAATTGCCCTTACGGCCTTACCCCTTCAAAAGTACTCCAATTGCGCTCACAACCTGATGAAGAAGTGGTTAGGTTTAAGATTTGAATAACCAAATTTTGTAAATTTGGAGAACTACACCTATATTGGCTCCACCAATGGGCTGCCAAGATATAGAAAAAAATCATAAATAAATAATAGAATTACTTGATTACTTGAACTTGATGAAGATAAACTTAAGAATATTATTAATACTTGGATTAATTTTGGTCCTTTGCCTCATCGCCATTGGATTGCCAAAAGATTTTAATGAGCACTTGTAATTTATCAGCTCATCAGTGCATATAATATCCTGCATATCAGGATCAGGGATTAGCACCTCTACACACTCATTAAATCCATTCATAATTGTGTCATTTGTTTGTATATCCTTGTCAATATAAAAAAAAGCTGGGTTCAAATAATAACCAGTTGCATGCAATGGCTGATGTAGCAACCCATCCCACTTTTTATCAATAATCTACCAAACAGGCTTGTAGGGGGTTTCTTCATCATTGAAATTTTGGGCTCTCTCTCTTTTGCATTTCTCCATAGCATCATATATGCAGCCCATAGAAGGCTTGTCACTATCAACCATGTGAAGGACTTTAATAAGAGGAAAAAATACCTTAAGAGCACCCTTCACCCCTCGCCAAAAAGCCTTAGAAAGGATAATATCTCTCACCTTCTTCCCAACCTGATCCTTATACTACTTACACGCTTTCCACTCATCTGAGGTAAACATTTGCCTCAACTGCACTCTCCTCGAATGTATGCTATCTAGGCATAATTACAAGGTCGCAAATTTCGTGACCCTAGGCCTCACAATCTCTTTCTTCTTTGTAAAGGTATGCATCATGGCTGAGGGCGAGATGGTGGCTATAAATGAAATTAGTAACTAACTTGGCCTTCTTCACTGCACTTGATATCTCGGTTAAACTGCCGATAGCCTCAAGCATGAGATCTATACAATGTGCTGCACATGGTGTCCAAAAGATTCTAGGATACGCTATGCGCAACAAATTAGATGCAGCAACATTAGGAGCAGCATCGTCTGTGACAACCTGTACAACAAGATGCTCCCCAACCTCCTTGAGTCCCTTCTCTATCACTTGAAATATGTATTGGGCATCATGGATATGATCCGAGGCATCAATAGACCTAAAAAACACAGTCCCTGTAGGACAATTCACAAGCAAATTCATTTGACTTCTTCTGTTCCTATCACTCCAAGCATCAGTCATAATAGTAACCCCATATTGAGCCCATGCATCCTTCTTAAATTCTATAGCTTCCTTCGTGTCACTCACTGCCTTTTTTAAAAAAGGCTCTGAGAGCTCATATGGGCTTGGGGGTTTCATCCTAGTGCCAAATTGACCGCAGCATAGAAGCTACTTAAGCGAGCGGTATTGAAAGGAATACCCGCCTCATAAAACCATGTAGCAAGATAATATGCAGCTCTATCTCTCTCTTCCTTCTTGATTCTTTTTTCAATGGTGGTTTGTTTTTTTGTTTTCTCTCCTGCAACCTTAGGGTTAGGCCGAGGTAAAAAACTAACCATAGGGCCTCA